GTGATAAAATCATATATATTTAAGAGAAGCCTTGAAGCTAAAGATTGATATTAGGACATTTTGTCATATAAATGTTAGTCCAATCTCACTTAAAAGATGGGTGGGCTATAGAGTTGGTTTTCCTCGGATTTTATTAAGTGATAGGGGATTAAACATATTGATAATTTTAATGTTAGTTGTCTTAAATTATTTATGTCTTTACTTTCAATAATTAAAATTTATTTACTTTTTATTATATTTATTAAAGATAATTATTTTTTTATTTAGAAAATTACGTTAAATTTTAACCATTGAAATCAAAGAAATAAATAGTAAAAATTTTATATTAAATGTAGTATGTAAAATTTGTATATAAATAAAATTTTTTCATATATATATATAGAGATATATGTAAACACACTCGAGTTTAAGGTAAAAACTTACTTTTAATCTTTCATCTTATTAAATTTGAAGGTTTTAACTCTTTATTTTATATTATAATAATTTTACCTCATCACCTTATTAAATTTATAAGTTTTAACTACTCATCTATTAAAATCAAAGAAAATAGTCATCACTTTAGAAACTAGGTTTTTGTCAACTAACAGTCATTTAATAGTTAATTAACATAATTAACGAAATATTATAAAGTTAGTTCTGTTAATTTTATTAGCTGAAAAAAAATTTTTGTAAGTTAATAGTTAACTAACAGTCAGTTAATACAGTTAACAGTCAACTAACAGAACTAACATAATATTAAAAAATGAGGGTTATTTTCTTCAATTTTAATAAGTTAGAGACTAAAAGTGTTATAATATAAGGTGAGAGGTTAAAATTTATAAATCTAATAAAGTGATGAGTTAAAAATATTATAATATAAAATAAAGAGATAAAATCTTTAAACTTAGTAAATTGAGAACTAAAAGTAGGCTTTTAGCTTATTTTAGTAAGGTTCAATATCCAAAACGTCCAGTAAGACAAAAGGAGAATAGAAGAGAAGCTGAAAAGCTCTTCTAGAATTAGTGTCCACCCTCCCTAAACGTAGGTCTTAGGCTCTTCAGAGAATGAAAGAATAGTCAAACATGGGAAGAATTCTCGAATTCTCTTTTTGTCAGAGGTTAAGATTCACCTACCGTACTGATGCTGCTCTTGAGGCCTTTGGAATTTAAGCTTTATTCTTGTTCGGCTCCATTTGGTAAGAAGAGAGGGTACCTTTAGCTTTAGGAGATTGCAGTTTGCAGACATATATCTGCTAACGTGGAAAGGTCAGTGTTGGTTAATTCAATACTATATTTGTTGTATAGAACTCGTTTGATTTAGAATTATTCTTCTCACTCATAATGTATGGACGGAAAGAAGTTGTTAAGAAAATAGCGTTATAATGTGCTTACCATAACGTAAACTTTCCTAAACCTCTCTTTGACTCCATTGTCATTTGCTTATTAAATATATTATTATTTTGTTATTGTCTTGTTGGAGTTGATTATGGTTAAGAAGAGGGTTATGTACACTCAACAGGTTGGTCCAAGTGCACATGCACTCTCCCTTACATTAATTAGTATTTGTACGTACTTGGTACTTTTAGGTTTGCTTTCATTAGTCAATCTTGCTTTTTTTTTTCCTAAACATAAGCTGAAATGCTTTCTTTTTCTATTTTGTGCTCTATTCATGTCTAATAAATATACCCCACACAAACATTACCATTAGAAGCCAGCTGTGGCTTCACAAATTAAAAAGCACAAACAAAAAATTAGTTATTCAAAATCCATAATAACGGAACCAATATAGAGTAATGTGCCGACGAATGGGGATGCAGCCGTGTTTATCCACTTTTCTAATTGCTACGTTATCTTCTTTCATGTCAGCTTATTTATTTATTTTTTTTACTTTAAAAAATTAATTATTTGATATAAAAAATTTAAAATTTAAAATTAATTAATATTTTAAATTTAAAATTAAATTTAATAAATAATAATTTAACTAATTTTTTTTTATTAATTTCTTGTCCATTATGCAGGCATGTAGGTTTATTTTAACTGCGGGGATGTTTATGTTGCTTAAACGTTAGGCTTTTTTTTTTTTCACACTCAGACGCTGTTTGGAAGAATTTTTAAAAAATATTTTTTTAAAGTAGATTCTCCGGCGACAAATTCAAAAAATCGACTTCAAAGTAGCTTAGAGTTAGGGGGTCATATACAGCCAACCAAGCAGATTTTCAGGGTCATGTACTTCTGCTTTTGGTTAAATTAAATAATTGATTTAGCACCGATAAAGGGTACGAAAGCTGATTTGCCTTTTTTTGCCTTATCTTAATTAGTTGTTTTCTTAACGCAGACAAAATCCAAAAACGACGTGTAAGACACAGAGCACATCTGCACATGCACTGCGGTGCAGTTGCATTCGAGTTCTTAAAAAAATAGTGGTATGTGTTGTTCTTCGGACACTCTCCTCCATCTTCATATTATGTTATTATTGTATTTTGATCACAATATTAAATAAAATAATAATTAGTAAATTTATCCAAAAATATTGATAAAAAAATATCATCTAAATAAGCATGAAAAATTTACTTATTTTAAGGCAATTTACGTCTCTGCAAAGAGTAGATCAATTGGTGCAGTAAAGATATATAAAGTATGTCGCTCCTAAGATACTATAATTTTATAATAACAGTCTATGAATCTACACTAACTATAGAATCACTTTACTCAAAACACCCTTCTTTACTAAAAAATATTTAGAAAATAAAGTGAGGTAAGAAAGAATAGAGGAATGTATAGAAAACCCATTTTTGAGCAAAAAACATATCTTATTTATAGGACTCATGGTCTTGTAATTCCCATTTGTAGGTTAATAGTAGGAATAAATTGGGCAATTATTATGAAATAATGTACCCTTAAATAGGACAATTAACCTCCAATGATTAGTTTGACCAAGTTCTTAATGGGACAATAAATTCAATTTATAAAATATATTATTTTATTTTTTATTAAAATATTTAAGTTCCAATAATTCCCCCACTATTTTAATAAAAAAATAAACCTTTCTTTGTGCAAAGATGGATTATTATGTATAGTAAAGGTAACTAAGCCTTGAACCTTTACTTAGTGAGTCAACAATTCTTAATCCAAAGTCAATAGTAAACTAAGTCTTGAATTATGACCCAATTGGAATATACAAGAATTATATCACACACATAATGATCTGAATATTGAGCTTTTTCACACAGCTAGCACATTTTGGCCTTACGCATGACCCCGGCTTTCATGGGTGATCTAAAAAATTGCCCATTCAATTTTCATAGAAACGGCCTCACTTTGACACCCACATAAGTGAAATTTGTCAATGGTGCTCCCATAACTAAGACACCCCACTCAATGAGCTACAAATTTATTAAGAGTATAAAACTCAACCCTCAATTCGTTATAAGATAGATGCATCCTCACCTTAGGAATGAGACCAGAAATTTTTTTTGTAAAACATTGATGCATCTTTCAATAACGACTTCTCTATGATTCGTTTTTCCCATTCAAAACCCAATTCTCATAATTTGGGTTGGGTATCCTCATAGGAACTTCTACATTATTGGGCTTCCCTCGATGAGCACTAGACCTTGGACTATGATCATAGATTTTCCTCCAACTTTTGTTTTTGCCAAAGGTCTAGTTGGTGGTATAGTGCGTAACAAAGAGATTCAACTTATTCTCTTTTTCTCACTTTTTCACATTAACCCACATGTCTACTAGCTCATAAAATTCACATTCATATTTCTCAAATTCTCAATTCATGGTACCACAGTTTTGATATCAAATGAAGCTAGTGAACCACCATTTTCTTTTCACATATGTCGAAACATGTATTTAAGAATTTTTAACTCAAACACCATTGTACCTTGTTGTACAATAGAAATGTCCATCATATACCTCTTTTCTCAAGTGTCTTATTTTTTTTTTTTTCATCATACATCATTATACAATAATTGTATAATAAGAGTGTATATCACATTTACTTTGTTAAGCACCATTATACCTTATTGTATAATAGGAGTACATATCACATTTGCTTTATTAGACACCATTATACCTTATTGTATAATAGGAATGCCATGCAAAATCTCAATTAGGCATCATTGGTCTCATCACCAATAATAACAAATAGGGACATCATTATCCCCCACATTAGGAGCATTTCAAATATGTGATTTTCACATTCCTCAAATAATTGAGTTCATGAAGAAACTCATTTTCTCACAAGATTTCATAAGAGCTTATTAACTCATCTCACATTTTATCACCACAAAATGGCTCCTCGGTCACATAAGCTTAATGTAAGCTTAAAAGGTTTAACTTACGTTTCCGGAATATATTAACCCAAATTTCA